ACGTCCTTCGTATGGCGCCCATGACCGACATTGCTCTCGCTGCGGCTTTAGAGCACTGTGCGATGACATTTAGGTCGCCTTTAATAAGAATATATAGGTCTCTTTGCACACTTACGGTTTCGAGTGGTTTGCCTCCAGAGATATAATGTCGCTAGAGTGCAGTTCTGCGTCGTCTTGCTAATAGCATGTGAATTACTACACATTTTTTTGGGGTTGAAGTTCACACACTAACTGTTACTTCGAGAGTGCAGTCGGTCTATATCCTCTTGTAGTGTTTCGAATTCCCTATATCAGAGTTCTATGTCAGATTTAACTTCTCGCACGATATCATTTACTTGGATGATGAAAAGGAGCGGTCCAATAACTGACCCTTGTGGAATTTCACTTTTGACAGGTGCCCACTCTGCACAGTAGCCGAAGCAGAGATGTCATCGCCTAATTACGCCTCGTGTGAGTCCCTCAAGGAAGAACATGACAAAAAGAGGGCAAAAGCAGAAGTCTTTGAGTTTAGAAGGTACCCCATATTTAAAGCAACAAACGCGTGTAACTTATGTCCATCAGGTCAATCAGCTTCTTGCCTGGCGTGGTTAGTGGCATGATTGGCTGGTGACTCACGGCTGACTGTAGCTTGAATTTTAAAATGTTGATTGATTGCCTGTCAATATGTTTCGTCGCCTGTAGGCCAACCGATAGCCTGACGTGAGCGCGCTCGCTACCTGTATGGTAGCTCACTGATAGCTGTCCGTTAAGCGCCTCATAACAGTCCCCCCTTTTGGGACGAATCGTAAGATTTGAGCTGCGGGTTCACTTGTAACGGAATCTTTTGTATTCATTTCCGGCCTCATTGTCGAGAGGCTGAAGTTCGCGCCCTTTTAGCACTGGGGTCCCTCGTGGAGAGATCTGGGAGTCGGTGGTGGTCGTGGAACAGGAGGATGGGGACTTCGTTGTTGCACCATGCCTTTTGGGCGCGCCCCTGTGAGTTAATCGACCATGTGTCTGACGGGGCTCGGAAGCTGCTGGCGCTTTCTGTCCTGGTTCCTCCTGCAAACACTTGCGCTTTTCTTAGAGTATGAATTCCACTCCCAGGCATATTTAAATAGCCCACAAGAATTAAGACATGCCACATTGACGGAAAGAAGACTTTGTGTCTATCGGATTGAAATCTACCCAGTGACACGTTTAACTTTTGGTGCAGCTGCTGAACTGATTTTGATTCGGATGGCGTCGTATGCCTCGCTGGATGTAAATAGTAAGGATGAAACCGTCAAGCAGCGTCTACTCAACATATGAACTGACTTGTGTGAAACAGGATTTTAGATTTGCGAAAATCCGAGTGCAAGGATGAAAATCTGAGAGTTTAAAGAGTCCCATGGGAAAAGGTTTATATTCTCGTTGATTATTTAATGAGCTTGGTCGGCTCTCCAGCCTTAAAGTATTCGATGCCCGTGATGCGTCGGAATGGCCCAAATATTCGGCTTCTTTCTTGCGGATGGTTTCTCGTAATTCACTATCATGGACTTTGTATCGTAGTCTCTGTGAAATTATGGCTTCTGTCGTTGCACATCGTAGCCTGTATTGAAGATTCTTGTAAGCTCACCTTCGCTTCCTTTTGGTTTATCACGGGCTTGTTGAAAGACTTAACACCAGAATACAATGCCTCAAGCGTCATTCATTTCCCTTTTGAAGTGCCTCAACCATAGCTGGTCGCCCTTAGAATGTGAACAGTATGGCAAGATTTTCAAATATGGGTTGCAAGCTGTGAGTTTGGGTCTTGCTTCCAAATAACAAGTTTGATATTATCTAGACGGGTCTGCAATTTTCACCCGATTCCCTCGACGTGGTTGCAATCCCCAGCACCGCAGCACATTTGAGAGGCAACTGAAGGGGTTTCGGCGGGCGGAAATTTGTCCGAAGGTTACATTACCTGGCGGTGAATTTGTCTGGAGTTAAAGAGTTATACCTACTCCGGCCGGTTGCAAATTCCAGAAGGCTTCTTTGCGATTCCTCGTATGTCGAGAAGGACCCTCCAGACTTTGGGTCGTCGTTATTTTAACCGTCGTCCTTTTAATTGACGCTTGGTTGGCTTCATACCACAGGTTTGCATCCACGTTCTTGGAAGAGGCCATTAAGGTATGTACTTTCAGCTTCTTCGTGAACTGTTGACCTGCATTGTCTTTAATCTCCTCAGAGAAGAGGCCAGACGCAGTTACCTTAGTGAGTGTCGTAGTTTCTCTGTGGTCGTGGCTTTTCTGAATACTGTTGTTTGTCGCAGTCCAGCTGCACACCAGGGAATAAATACATTGAGGAGGTGAACTTGGTTGTTTGTTTCCGCGTTCATCGTGAAGTGGGTATTCAAATCACCAACTTCAGGACTTTTTTGGGATGCTCACCGCAAACTGCTCTTAATTAGGGGGGACATCTCGGCTTTGGCCACATTTACAACAATCTGAGGCCGCGTATTCAGAAATCACTATGTCCATCTCCACAGAACAATTACTGACTATCTTGCAGCAACAACAAGCTCAGTTCGAGGTGGCTCAAATGAAGATGGTGGAGTCCATGATGAAAAATTCAGTTAACATTTTTCTGATCCAGATGCTTCTGCGAAACAGTCCACATCAGCTGACGCAGCTGCTGCCTCTATCACGGAGTTCACTTATGAGCTTGTGGGATACGATGTGGTCCAGCTAGATAATAGACGAGAGAACGTATCCCAACATGTTTAAGCTAGTAGATTAGGATAAGGCGCGGAAGGCCATAGTGTCAGGGAGAATTTACTAGGGTAGGAACAAGCGTAGTATGTCAGCAATGTAGGAAAGTGATTTCTAGACGAGTGCAGTTCCAGGTCGCATTCCGGTTAAGTCGATCCACCGGGACTGGAAGTCTGCAACCGAACATTGAGTCGTCGGCTCTGGAAGTGAATGAGCGTAAACAAATCGTCCGCATCTCGGGCACCGGTCTGACCTTGAGAAGTGGTCGGCTAGTGACACTAGATAAGTCCCGACCTTGAGTGAGGCTTTGACTATGGCGGCTTGCGAGTGCGTGGTGGTCACGCCAGACATGACCTAGTCCGCGCGGCGTCCGAGGGAAACATGACTAAGAAAGGGGGTCGCTACAAGCTTGACAACAGCGTAACTTGCGACGCGTAGGTCAAACGTTGGGGAGGCATCTTCCGTGTGGAGTTTGCCAAAACGGATAACGCTTGGAAGATGCACCAGCTGCTACCACAATTGGGCACCAAAGAACACAAGTGGCACACGGACATGATTCTGTCGAAAAACCCTCGTGACTTCACCTTCGACACCACCCTCAAGCGCCTTTCAGAGACCTTTGGAGAGAAGTCCTCCTTGTTCAATATTCGATGCCAGTGCCTCAAGCTGGGCAAGAACGAGGCAGACGAACTTCTGACACTCGCAAGTATCGTCAACCGCGAATGTAAAGTGTTTAAGCTGTGAGAGATGAAATAAGGTCAATTCAAGTGCTTCGTCTCTGTGAGCGCTCTGCAGGCACCTCGTGATGCTGAAACCAGTATCCCTCTGTTCTCTGAAATGTAACAGGACCCTGACTCAACTCTGCAGACGTTGACGGCCGAGTGTCAGCGGCTAAAGCATCTTAAAAATAATTCTGCGGTTGTGGAGCAACACAGTCCCTCGTTTGCCGCCATCAGCGTTCATGCTGTCACTCGCATGAAGCCGATGTGGCCAAAGAAGCCTCAAAACTCCACATTCAGAAAATCACCATCAGCATGCTAGCAGTATGGTAATTGGCATCTTGTTCGCTTCTGTCCATTCACGAAGCACGTTGGTCAGAAATGCCACAAGCTAGGGTATAAATAGGATCACCGCTCGGCAGGCTAAGCCCCCAAAGTAAGGACAGGCGACAGGAAGAAGAGACGTTCCAAACGCTCTTCATCTAATTCCGGTCTCAAGTCTCACTTAGTTCTTGCCACGTTCCAGACGGAAATTGAGGCATGGATAAAGCATCTTATGGTTATCATCAATGGGAATCCCGTACGCCTCCAGCTTGATACGACATCAGACCTCAGCGTCATCTCCAAGCGCACTCGGCAAATGATCGGGCAGCCTCCGATGATCACATCGGACAAAGGGTTCATGAATATTTCCGGAGGATTTCTCCGGCTCACAGGTGAGCCTGAATGTGACGTCTCCTTTGATGGCACTCGATGCGAAAGAACATGCTAAATTACCGACCGTTCAAAGCGGTCTTGGCTGCTGCAACTTCAACCAAACGCAAATGAGTTTTCAGACCAAAAGACCAGTTCCTTATGTTGCACTTACAGTGCTCGACCAAGAACTGTATCGTCTTCAGCGAGATGGTGTTCTTCAGCCAGTCAATTACCCAGAATTGGCCGCACCACTCATGACTGTCAAGAAAACCACAGGTAAAGTCAGAATCTGTGCTGATTTTTCCACTGGGCTCAATGCTGATCCGGACACATATCAGTATCTTTTGAGCGTGCCGGAAAATCTTTTTGCTAAACTAAATGCAATTTTTCCAGGCCTTCTGTGAAATATCTCGGGTTCATAATCGACCAAGACGGTCATCGCCCAGATTCAGACAAAATCGACGCTATCAAACAGATGCCACCACCAAAGAACGTAAATTCATTGCGCGCTTTCTTGGGTCTCATGAGTCACTACAGCTTGTTCCCCCCGGAAATGCACCGCCTTAGACATCTGATAGATGAACCACTCAAGAAAGATGTCAAGTAGTCCTGGTCGCGAGAGTGTCAACAGGCGTATGAAGGAGTAAAATCAATGTTGAGCTCTGACTTGCTGCTCGCGCTTCATTTCACCATTTCAAGGACCGCAAGCTTCTTCTTGCTATTTTCGGCTTGAAAAAGTCATTCCCGTGTGCTCAGAAAATCGCCCTCAGCGCTGAACAACTATGCTACTGGGTTACGACTTCGACATCTGGTACCAGTCTACAACAATCATCAGTCAGGCAGACGCACTCTCGCGCCTAATCAACTCACGGTCTAAGAGCCTGAAGACATAGTCATCATGTTCGTCTCTGTTGAGTCCGAGGTTCACAGTCTATTTATGGATTCCATTCGTGTGCTTCCTCTCACTTTTGAGGAAATCAAAACAGAGCTCGACAGGATCCACGGTCAGTACAAGAATTGCAGCAGTTCCACCAACGACGAAATGCTCTATCCGCCGTTCTACGATCCTGTTCTACAATCATGTCGTTGTTCCGCAGAAGCTACAAGCCAGTGTTGAGACAGTTCCACAGCGGACATCCCGGCATCAACCGCATGAAGGCTCTCACTCGCAGTTATGTGTACTAGCTTCACATGGACCAACAACTGGACAAGCCGGCCCGCTTATGCACCAACTGCGCTCTAGCATCAAAGACGCCAGTGAAGACCACACTCAAGGCACAGCCAGTTCCACAAGTCCCTTGGTCCAGGGTCCACATCAACTATGCTGGAGCGCTCAATGACCAGAACTTCCTTATCACCGTTGATGCTTGTAGCAAGTGGCCGGAAGTCATCCTCATGAAACGCACGACAGCCGAAGCGACAATGAACGCTCTTCGACGACTGTTCAACAGGATTGGTTTTCCCGAAGCCTTGGTGAGCGATAACGGAGGGCAGATCACATCAGCTGCCTTCGCCCAATTCCACAAGCAGTCAGGCAGTAACCACGTGCAGTTGCCACCATATCACTCGCAGTCCAACGGACAAGTTGAACGATTCGTCGACACCTCCAAGCGGGCCCTCGGGAAGTCAAAAAGGGAGGGGACGATGCAGGAAGTTCTTGAACTATTCCTGATGAAATTTCGAGCCACATCAAACCTCTAACACTTCAGACGGTACCTCACCTGCAGACATTTTGATGTAGAGGAAGCTTCGCATGCTATTTGACGTTATTCGTCTGCTGTAATTCGTCGGTTTTGCTGATGAATCAGCCCATGCGACGTCAACGGAAAGGCAGTCCAACCGACACCATGGTGTAAAACAACGATTGTTCCATCCAGGCCAGGTAGTGCTGGCAAAGGACTACATGAACAATCGGGAGAAGTGGACGCTTAGACGTGTTCACCCACAGCGTTGTGATGTCATCCACGAGATTCGGGTCAACTCAGATGAAAATGATGGAGGCCATGATACAAAAATTCAGCTTGCATTTTTCTGATCCAAACGCTTCTGCGAAACAGTCCACGTCATTTACAGCTTTGACACTGTCCAGAATGTCATGGACATAAGGCGTCCAAAACCCTGGTTGATTCCTGGTGAAAACTGACTGGTTTATTCGTTGAAGGACGATCGCGGCAATCAGGCTTGTTAGGGGGATCCCAAGGAGTGTCTTAAGTTTGTTCATAAATTTGTGCAGCGGACTGGAACACTTCAGTGTGAGACAAACATTTTTCCTGTGGCGCAGACACTGGAGTAACAACTAATCGTTTTGCAAAACCTTGGATGAGCAATAAACGTTTGTTTAACAAAGCACGCGGTTCAGTTGAATATCAGGATGTGGAGGCGTTTGGACGAGGTCCAGTATCGGTACTGGTGTCATTTTTTTCAAAATACATAAACATAATTAGGGTCTGCAATAAATATACCTTCAAATAAATGATATTTTTCCCTACGAAGTTCATTTTTGATTATGTTCGTCTCAGGTTGTTCAGTATCAGTTTATGAGTATATGTACGATAATTTCTCAGCAAATGAGAATCGAGTTTGCGTAAAATACCACGACAGTTTCTGAAAGAACTACCTCATTAGGGAATCTGTTCCACGCCCCAATGACCCTCTGCGAGAAGGCGTACCGTCGAACGTCAATATAGAGCCCGCTTCCTCTGCAGTTTAAAGGGATGACCCCGCAGATAATTGAGGGAAACAAATCTAGTTCACCCAAACATTCTTTGTAAGGCAGATGACCAAGATCCTTGACCACCTTTGTAACCCTCGCCTGCACTCGGTCCAGGCTTAGATAATCCTACTTAAACCACAGATGCCAGGCCTGGACGGCATACTCCCAGTGGGTCCGAATAAATGCTCCGTAGATTTGTCTGGACAGTTCCTTATCGATGTGAGCAAATCCTCGTCTTAGCGCAATTTACACTTGTGTCGCGCATTGAGCTGCCCCTAGACACTGTGAAGCTGTTTTAAGCTAGGAAGTTATTAGAACACCGAGGTCCTTCTGTTCGCCAACATTTGAAAGGGGTCACCCATCGATGAAATACTGGAAGGAATCGTCCATCTCATTGGTCCTTCAAGTACGGGCATTAAGACCACACAATTTCTATCGTCGCAATTTCAGAGCCAACGGGCAGACCAGCTGATAAGTCGGTTGAGACTCTCCTGAAATGCTTGCCTATCGGTGTCAGAACTGCTGGTGCTCCAGGTTGTAACATAGTCAGCAAACATGATGACATTGCAACACAGGTCGTTGACATGGTCATTGGTATAGACTGGGAAGAGCAGCGACCATAATACGGGACCTTGGGGAACACCACCGAGAACAGGGGTAGGGTTGACTTCGAGTCACCAATGCACACAGCTTGCGGTCGACCTGTGAGAAAGTCTGTGATCCATGCCAGCAGATCTCCTCTTGAGTAGCAGAAAAAGGTCTGCTACTCATGTTTCTGATGACGAATCCGCGACGGATGTCGAAACGTCAGGCGAATATACATATTGTCCCAGCGATCGAGTCCACTTCTTCTCACATCTCCTTTCATTCCAATTTCAGATTATTTATAGCTTCGAAATTTATGTTTGACGCTCTAAAATACCTTCTTGAAATCAGTGTAAATGACGTCAACCGTAACATCTTCATCCAGTGTGCGATTTCACTGCTCGGTCGAGAGCAATAGCTTGGAAAGACAAGAAGGATTCCACTTGAAGCCGTGTTGAAGCTCCAAGTTTAAGTTGTTCTCCGCCAGTGGCTTGATTGTCTTCTACTTCATTATGGTTTCCATCACTTTAAAAAAATGTGGTTAAGGCTGGCGGGCCGATAATTGTTGACCTTCGTTCGAGCCCCACCATTGTATATCGGATATATATTTGCCGCCTTCCATTCAGATGGCACTCTCCCTAATTCAAATGCTGCTAGTGGTTTTGGGAGCTCGCTTGCCAATTATTTTCATGAACTTGGCCGGTATATTGTCCAGATCGGGTGACTTTGCTTCTTTGAGGTTTTGTAGCTCTCTTTGCGCTTCAGATGTTAGAAATAATAGGGATTCAAGAGTTGGATCAGCGTTTACAGCAGCACTGTTGACATTGTGTAACCGAAGCTCGGTTCCCCTACTGAATACCGAGACGGAGAACCAGACACAGTACTCGGCCTTCTCGCCATTTTCAACAGCTTGTATGCCATTATTATCTTTAAGTATTGCAAGTGGGTTCTTGTTTTTTAGTTGACTGTTAGTATAGCGAAATAAAAGCTTGAACTCATCTTCAGCTTGTCGGATAATTCTTCAGACTATTCTTTGAATAGTTTTTTCTTGCCTGACGGATCGATTTTTTGACCGCAGTTCGTTGGTGGTTCTTATTTTACAGTACATCATAACTCCAGAATTAACCTGCATTAGCAGTGCCATTTATTCGACCCACGCTAAGGTTAATTTTGATTGTTCCTGTTAACTGGAATTTAGTATAAATATAAGTACTGGTAGTTGGAAATTAGCTGCGTCCGCAGTCACCATTGACAGATTATTTGTTACCTAAGCAGCCGCACTCAACACAGCACTACCAAAATGAATCATCACACTCACTTACACATGGCATTCTTCGTAGGCAGCTAGCAGCCTCCGGCGTCAACCCACCCAAAATTATATAGATCGCAACGATTGAAAAAAGAATAAAGCAATGAATTCTCGAAATATGTAGCCACCATATGGCAAATCACAGATGCTTTATATACTGAACTGCTCCTAAAACGCCCATAATACGTAGGGTGTACGCATCCTCGATTTAGACAGCTCCATGGTAGGCTTAATCCAAGCAAATGAATTTTTTCCTCCAACATTATTTTCCTGCCTTTCAATACCCATGCTAATCTGCAGGCTGTCCATTGATTGGTTTCGTCCGAGTGCGCATTGCATATATTATGGCTTCACATCCCCACATCCCCACAACGCGCAAAAAACTAGAAGAGCATTCAGTGGGATTAAAATTACTTTAATGGTAAATACTATTTAGTAATATACATTAACAAAAGGTTGGGACCAAGCATTTGAC